CTTGCTGAGGATCTGAGTTCTTCTCTTACGGATGACATTGGGCAGCCCACAACAGCTTGCAGTTCTAGTGTTGGGGATCTGATGCCTCTTCTGGACACTTCAGGTACCACACATGATGCACACACATACACTCCGGACCACACACATACACATTAAAAAATACATACCAACATTAAATTTCCCATCTGTTATTAAGCATAGAAAGATATATAATTATGTATATATTCCTACAGTTAGTCGAGAAACACTCCTGGAAGTAGATGGCTTACTACTGATAAGAGTAATAAGTACCCACACACATACTTGGAGTCTTACTTAATCCTTATAAACAACGCTGTGTTTAACAGTGCTTAAGGGCTGAAAAAAAAAACCAACACAACTAATTCGGAGAGTTATGTAACATGTCTGGGTTCACACAGCAAGAGATCCAGGCAGATTTCCTGAAGTCTGTTCAACAACAAAACCCACACTTTAAGCAACTCTGATACTATGCACGACATAAATGCATTCAATGGTCCATGTAGAATTTCACATCCAAGTCAAGAAAAAAATAAATGATAAGAAATCTTCCTGTGTTTTAAAATTCAGCAGTAAACTTACCTCCACACGAAATGGTTACAGGAAGACAAACAACTTTGCTCAGTTAATACAAAATCAGAAATCAGATTGTTTCTTTTCCCCTTCCTCTCTTTTCTTCTGTTTAAAATTAAATAATTACCACGGGCATGGCTTCTTGCCCTTTAAGACATAAGTCCAGTGTGCAACTTGTCCTGTTAGGAACCAGCTTCTCACTGGGAAATAGAATGAATGATTGTCAGTGAAAGGGTGCAGGGGGCTATTGAGTCCTTCAGGATTAACTGCAGACCATCCCCAGCAGTCAGGCCTAGTGATTAAACTAAGGTGAGGTACAGGAACCTGACTAGGAAGGAAGAGTATGGAAGTCCTGTGTTCTCCACATGCATTCTGATACATGGGTGTGTGCCTTCAACAATCATGTACCCACATACATTATTTATAAAATAATATATTTTTTTTGTTTTTTTTTTTTTCGAGACAGGGTTTCTCTGTGTAGCCCTGGCTGTCCTGGAACTCACTCTGTAGACCAGGCTGGCCTCGAACTCAGAAATCCGCCTGGCTCTGCCTCCCAAGTGCTGGGATTAAAGGCGTGCGCCACCACTGCCCGGCTAAAATAATATTTCTTATTTGTGTATGTGCATGCATGTGTGTATCACAGTGAAATTGTGGAGGTCATATGACAACTGAGTAAATCAATTCTCTTGTTCTGTCTCCATGAGGGCTCTGGAAATGAAAGCCAGTTGCTCTAACAAACACTTTTTACATGACTTCTAACATCTGCTGGCCAGCTTTTCAAAATCTCCCAGAGAGTTTGGCCTTGAAGATAATTCAAGAAGAAGGTCAGCATATGGGGGTCATAGTATCTGGTGCCCTTCCCTATATGGGCCAGGCTGTGGTAAGATAGAAATCCTATTACTTCCTACTCCTGGGTTAGACCTGAGTGTGCTCTGACTGTCAATGCATCAGACATTTAAATACCGAATAACCAGGGTAAGACCCCTGAACTACAATGGGAATTTCAGTTTCTAAATGGAGGTTTTGTTTTGAGACAGGGTCTCATCATGTATCCCAAACTGGCTTGGAATTCAGTGTAGCCAAGTGAGTATGACAATGGGCAGATCATCCTTCCGTCCCCAGCTCCTGGATACTGACATCACAGGCCTGTCACCATGGCTTGAGCTTCTCTGAGCAGAAAAGGCAGAACACAGGACCAAACAACAGGTTTGCCTAGATACTCCTTGGATTCCAAAGCTGGCTCCCAAGGGCACTGTAGATACCTGCTAAGGCTTCGGAGGCTGCCCCTGCAAAAATTTAGATTTGAGAATGACTCTGGTTTGGAGGGAGTTTCAACAGGATTAGCTTGGGTATTTTAGTTCTGGCCATTAGCCGGCTGTTTTGGATTTCCGAGTGAACTCAACAGACTTGAGAAACAAATAGAAAAGAGCCTGGAGAGATGACCCCGTGGTTAAGAGCACTTGTCCTTGCAGAGGACCTATGTTTAGTTCCCATCACCGAGAAGGGAACTCAGAACCATCTATAACTAACCCCCTTTTTGGCCTCCTGGGATACCAGGCCAACACACAGTACACAGGCATACAAGCCAGCAAAACACTCATACAAATAAACTAATTAATTAATAATCATATTTTTTTTAAAAAAAAGGCCAGACAAAGCAGGTGATCACCTTTAATTCCAGCACTCTGGAGGCAGAGGAAAGCTGATCTCTATGAGTTCTAAGCCACCTTGTCTACATAGCTTCAGATGAACCAGGGCCACACAGTGAGACCCAGCCTCAAATAAAAATTAATTTAAAAATAAGGTCTTGCTTCAAAGCCCAGCTAAATGTTATGATTATTGACTTGTGAGATCACACCTTGGTAACTGTTTCTAACTGGAAGAAACATTGTTTCCTTAGAATGTATTTTGAGCATTCTTCTCAGTAACAATGTGACACACAGAGTTCCCGGCCTTTCCTGTGCGAGGACGTACACATATGAGAGCACTTTACAAAGAGGAAGTGTTTGCATTTCATGACGTCATGAAGTTAAGGGAAGGTGTCATGGCTGTTTGTTTCTCTCTCTCCCTTTCTGTTCCTTTCTTTCTTTCTTTCTTTCTTTCTTTCTTTCTTTCTTT